GGTATAAGAGTATATATAGGTGAAGGAACTAGGTCAGGAGAGTTACAAGGGGCCCACGAGGGTGGGGGCGCGCCCTACCCCCCTAGGCGCTCCCTCCTGCCTTGTGGCTTCCTTGTTGCATCTCCGACTTCATCTCCAAGTCTTCTAGTTTGCTTTCGATCCAAGAAAGATCATCGCGAAGGTTTCATTCAGTTTGGACTCCGTTTGGTATTCCTGTTCTGCAAAACTCTAAAATAGGCACAAAAAAAAACAGAAACTGGCGTTGGGCCCTCGGTTAATAGGTTAGTCCCAAAAATAATATAAAATAGCATATTAATGCCTATTAAACATCCAAAACAAATAATATAATAGCATGGAACAATCAATAATTATAGATACGTTGGAGACGTATCAACAGTGTGTGCATTGCAACATAAGCAGCATACTTTTGCTTGTCATCGAGGCCATCCCTTTTTTTAACTTATTGCTCAACACCTGCACGAAGAAATACAACAAAGGAAAAAAATGATCAAATGATCAAGGAAAAATGGTCAAATAAACATGAGCAAATGATCAAATGATGATATGATCATATCATCAAATGATTAAATGATTATACCATCATATCATCAAATGATCAAATGATGATATGATCATATCATCAAATGATCAAATGATGATATGATCATATCATCGAACTGTATTTTGTAATTTAACTGATTTTTTTCTTCCATCATTAACTGGAAATTTCTGAAATGCCAATGTAGCTGTACCTGCATGTTGTACTTCTGCATCTTCATCCATTTGTACTCCTGCATCTTCATCCATTTGTACTCATGCATCATCATCATCCATTTCATCTTCTGCAGGTGGAGTGCAGTTGAGGTCTGGGATAACCATCTTCTGCTGCTTTCAGGTACTACTGTTGCTGCTTCTCAGTAGATTCAGATTCTGTCAAATGGTTAGATCAAATTATTGGCCAGTTGAATCAAATGCTCATCAAATTGTTGGCCAAAGATGAAATGAAAATGATGATGTAATCTGAATTGTACTACTCTAGTCATATTTTGTTGTGTGTGTGTTCTCATATATTTTTTACTCTAGTCTATTTTCAGTAGTTGTCTCTCATGATCCTTTAATGAGAAAAAGAACATGTGTAATCCAGATGACAGCATTTTTAGTCTATGATTTTTACAGTGACAACAACCATTTTACAGGTCTAGGAGTATGATTTTCTGTTAAATGCTTCAAAATGCTACAATGGCAACAACCATTTTGAAGTATGATTTGCTATTAAATGCTTCAAAATGTAAGTCTAGGAGTATGGTTTGTTGTTAAATGCTTCAAAATGCAAGAATAGGAGTATGAAATGCTACATTTTGAAGACTGATTTTGAATTGGGAGCTCTTAGTTATAAGTTCTCTCTTTTTCATCGACTCCATCTACTAGGAGTATGATTTGCCTGAAATGCTACAGTGAAGTCTAGGAGTATGTCTGAAAATGCCAGAAATGCTACAGTGAAAGTCTAGCTGTTAAATGCTTTGATTTGCTTGAAAATGTCTGAAATGCTATCATCAGATTTAATGCAGTACTCTCTTTTTTCCAGCGAAGATTTGCCTGAAATGTTGTTAAATGCTGCAGGTTCTCTCCTGCCCATGGAGCCAAGTACTGAAACAAGAGCCAAGTACTTAAAATGTCTGCACAAACTGGAGTACAACAGTTTCTGGAAATGTAGTTTATGAAACAACAGGTATTGCACTATTTCTACTGATACAACAGTTTTTAGGTGATGGATACTACTCCATTAATTAGCAGATAATCAATGGAAACTTGCTAAACTGAAACATTTCTGGATTAGCCGCTAATTTCTGCTACTGTTAATCAAGATAAACTTGAAACTTGCTAAACCTGGAGTACTTGCTAAACCTAAAGTAGCAATTTGGAGTAGGAGTTTTTCTGTTAATCAAAGTAAACTAAAACATTTTCCTTTTTCTATTTCATTTTTGAAGGACTACAAGAAGTTTGAAAGGAGTATTTTGCTTTGAAGTAATACGCACACTGTTCTGAATTTTGCTTTATGTACGGTACAGGTTAATTCATACTCCATCAGTATACTCCAAGTATATTCATTTGGCATTCTTCTAGTCCATCAGTACATCTATATATGCACATATTAGTGGTACAATAATTTGAAAGTTATGCCAAATTCAGTACCAAGTCTGTACACTGTACAATAATCTGAACAAATACTGATGGAGTAACACTTGAATCATTGGCAGCAATTATCTCTTGAATTACTCTTCTCTTGAATTCTTGGCAGCAAATATCTCTTTGAATTACTCTGGTTTATGATCATCAAATTGTTTACTCAGATGAGCAAGTGTTTATGATCATTAGATTGTTTATGATCATCAAATTGATGCAGAGCGGGTACTGGGCGAGGAGATGAACCTAGGCGAGCAGCTCCTGCGCAGCGGCAAGTACTTCAGCGGCAACAACTCCTGTGTGTAGTGAGTACTTCAGCGGCAGCAGCTCCCCTGGGCGCGCACGGGCACCAGCTCGCCTTCACCAGCAGCCGGCAGTAGAGCAGCAACTCGACTCCACCAGCGGACAGGAGCAGCCCGCCTCCATCAGCAGGTAGCAGCAGAGCACCACCTGGGCGCGCACAGGCCAGGAGGAGCCCTAGGACGGCATGGGTGGAGGTGGAGGGCGGGGGCGAAAGCGGAGGTGGAGGGCGGGGGCAAAGGTGGAAGACAATCCAGCGACCTGATTCAAAATTTAAATTGAGGGTATAAACGTCCATTTGCCCATTTTCACCTGGTCGGAACATTTGCCCCCAACAACTTATATTTCGGAACAGAGGGAGTAGTACTGAGCGCCACACAATTTAAGTGAAGCAAGTTGGCTAATCGTGCCAGAAATTAGATAACAGATCGAAGTTACATGGGAGCTCAGCCATGAATGCATCAAAAACATCTTCAGTTTTTTAGGCCGCTACTCACTTTTGAAGAGCTGTTTCTTAAAAAAAAATATGGTAGTCATTTCTGTTTCCGTTAGCAAACAAGCCCTTCCCAGCATCGCCAGCACCAGCTGCGTTTCACCATACAGGAGCTCGGAACTAATTAAGCTTCTAGATACTGAGCTCGGAACCAGGTAGAGAATAGGTAAAAGAAAAGAAAAACAGACAAATCGGACGTCGAAATCTCTCCCTGCTGATACAACACAGAAGATAATAAAATGCAAGCAAGATCAGTTGATAGTTAAGCTCACGACAACATGCTTGCCTCACAAGGCAAATTAAGCAAACCACGAAGCAAGTACCAGTCGACGAATGTCTACGGAAATTAGCAAATCACAGGCGATTAATTCCTACAGGTTCACTCCAGAGCTGTAAGAGTGCATGCTACATAGAGGCTCAATCTCGGCGTCAAGCATACAGATGGAAGAAACTACACTTGACAAGCAACTTCTGCATCTCAGCCAACAAAATGTAACTGTAGATTCCTGCAGAGCAAGCAATATCATCAGTCAAACAAAATGTATTATTCAATCAGGAAAAGCTATTGGAGTTGATATCATAATTTTCTATGGCTAGAAACAGAAAAACATCAGCTTCAGAATTTTGAAAATCGTGTCAAAAAGCCCCAAAGTAGAACCCTCAGCATTATTAGATAGAACCAACAATTGAACCAGAGAACCGGTAATCTGTAGTGCAGTAGCACACCTTAGATGTGAGATAGCATAGATGTCTGGTTTTTGGCTACATTTGGTCTGCGTAGAGTAAGATAGCATAGATGTCTGGTTTCTAGCTCATGGCATGCTTTTTAGAAATGAATGAGCTAGCTAGTCACAAACAAATCGAATTTCATCAACTTGCAATACAAGGCTCAAGCAATGGGTCAGGCGTCTTCTTACTATACCAGAAACTTCTTTTGGTCCGAAATGTCTTTTATACTACTCTCTAAGTATCAAGCAATACTTTCACCGCTATTTTAATGGTAACATGCTAGTAAAAATAAAAAATGGCATTATTGAGAAAAGGCAGTTTTCATAGTGAATCTAGTCATTATATTTTGATCATGTGTTTTGTATGAAGTATTAAACATCAATAGTGGCCAAAACTGAAAAAAAAAATACTCCACACAAAGCATACTACGTACAGTTTAGAGCTGCCAAATTATAATAGTGGCTAATAGCCAATTACATATTTACGCAAGTTTGGCAGACACCAAATGACATGCTGGGAAAATGTTTAACAAAACAACCTAAAACTAGAATAGTCATCCATAAAACTCTTCTATAAGCAGCAGTATAAGATTTAACGAAGGTATACTCTTCAAATATTGCGACAATCGTAGTTCAGTAGGTATCACAATGATCCAAAATAAGCAGCAACATGGAATGGCAATTCTATAAGTCCATATAAAAAAAGAACTTTCAAACCAAATTCTCAGGTACTGTTAGTTATAAATCACTTGTGTAGACGGGACAACATTCAAAGCAAACTAGGATATGATAGAACCATGGCCACAGAAAACAGAAGTTAAAGGTAATGCAGCAACGAGTAAAAGTAAAGCAGAAATAAATCGCAGAAGCACAGGAGAGGCGAGAGGGTTTGTAGTTCATTTGCTACTGCCTGCATGAAATCATTCTAATCTCTGAGCAGGCACAAAACATATGCATAAACAGGCAGGGAATGAGGAAAGGTCCTGTATCATCAATCACTGGAGGGGCTAGAGGGAGAAGAACCCACTCATTACCCAGCAGGAACTTTGGGAGTATGGAGACAAGATTAAAGATTTAGCCTGGCATCAAAGCATGATAGGAGGTGGGCTATAGCTAAGCAAAGAGTTGTAGAGAAAATCTGAAGAGTCCTCTCTTGCAATTTGGTACTTGAGAAATGACAACAAAAGGCAAAGCAGTACGTTTTTTAAGAACGGTTCAGATAACACATACATGCAGAAGATATGTGTACCTGCTCAACCGGTACATCACATAGCATATATAACTGGACAATCATCTTATGTCTTGTGCAAAAGATCAACTCCATCATGTCCACCACCAATGTCTGTTTCTGCAAGCATAAGAAGTCAAATAACCAATAACAAGCCAATGAAAAGCCAAATAGATACGAGAGGCATCAAAAAGATGTTTAGATGAACTCACAGCTGTAGTTCAAATAAAAAAAGGAACCAATTTTGAAACAACATTAGGAACATATTACAAAAAACATACCCACTATCAAAGTTAATGAATATTCAAAAAACAGTATAAACTGATTACTATCATAAAAATGAAGATGCTATAGTATTTTTTTTTAATAAATGAAGATGCACACTCAGACCATTAGCTGGGCAGAACTCAGAAGAGACATAACTTTTAAGCTCATTCCATGCCATATTGGAAAATATAGATCAAGGCTATTAATATTTAGATTATATTCAAATAAATTTAGCCTGAAAAAGATCACATAATAAATTCTAGCAAGTTCAGATTTAGATTATCTTCAAACAAATTTAGACCGAAAAAAAATGAACTCAATGTATTAGTTTTCCCTAGTACAAATGGACTTGCTACTCGCTCGTAGCAGGACTCTCCTAAAAGTGGTAAAAGGAACAATTATCTAGTAAATTTCAAGAAAATTCGTCATTATGGATTTAAGATTAGGAGCGAGATAAGTAGAGATACTAATATTGAATGAAACAAATAGAACTATCTTTTAGCTTCAAACACACCTAGTGAGCTACCCATTTCATATTTCAGTTGGTGCAAGCTAGTTTTCATGTAGTTGTTTTCAACTTCGAACTGTTGTATTATTTTATCTTGAGGAAAAACATGCAGCTACCTCATACTCCCTCCCTTCCTAAATACTACTCCCTCCGTTCCTAAATATAAGTCTTTTTAGAGATTTCACTAGATGGACTACATACGGTGCAAAATGAATGAATCTAAACTTAAAATGCATCTATATACATCTGTATGCAGTTTATAGTGGAATCTCTACAAAGACTTACATTTAGGAACGGAGGGAGTATAAGCCTTTTTAGAGATTCCAATACAGACTACATACGGAGCAAAATGAGTGAATCTACACTCTATAACGCGTCTATATACATCCGTATGTAGTCTGTATTGAAATCTCTAAAAGGTCTTATATTTAGAAACGGAGGGAGTACTATTTTTGTGATGATGCACAAACTAGCAAGACGCTAAAGCGAGGGTGTTGGCACCCAATCTTTCACAGTGCTCAACGAAGCAACAATGAACTATAGTGGTAGCATACACTTCAAATCAAGCAAGATGCAAGAAACTGAAGCCAAAACTGGCGCCCAGATTGATTAGATCAATGTTCACACTAGCAACTCTCAGATACCCTCTCAGGAACATAACTAACAAGCAACGGATTTGGTGAGACCCTTCCGCTTTTCAACTCGAAATTTAACTCTCATCTAAAAACAAGCTGACCATAACCTAATCAATGATCCGGGAACGCTGATCATCTAGATCCTTCAATAACCAACTAAAGACCCAGCAACGTTGATCACCTAGATCCTGCAGCAAGCAACTAGTACTAATCGACCCAAAAAAAGGTGATCCGGTCAGCTGTATGTCCTGGCATGAAACAGGTTCGAACACAAAAAAAACAGAAAAATAGCTGGGACTCTCCAACTGCAATGACACGATCGGACGGCACTTCTCCTACCAGGATCTATCGGCAAGGTGCCCAGAAGGTAGGATCCACCTCGTCTGCAGGTAGAACAATAATCTTCATTGAAATTGTACCAACCAAAAAGGCAAGACTCGTTTCTCTTTCAGTTTCACCACCAGTAAACATGCTATTTATCACTGGTTTGAGAACAACAGAACGTCGGCAATTGTCACAAGTGAACATCCTGACTTAATTAGTAGCTAAGGCATGTATAGCTGCAACATGTTGCAGATATCAAAACGCAGCAACAGCGAACTTTAGTTCAGCTATCACTTCTCTTTTTGCCAATCTTGGTGTCCATTGTTTTTTTTTCTCAAACATGCACCAAAATTTAAAATCAAGTAGTTATTATGGATTTAAGATCATAAACAATATCAGCAGATATGAGAAAACTGAATGAAAGAAATATAGCTAGGGCTAACTAAGCTTCCAAATGTACCTATTGAGCTACCTAGTTGGTTCAACTGGCTTTTTATGTAGTTAATTTCCAACTGTTGTGCATCACATCAGTCAAAAAAAATGGGGCTCCAGCTATTCACAAACAGTACCAGTAGACAATTCTTGCATCTATCAATAGGCGGGTAAGATAACACTTAGTGAAGTTATTGTACAAAAAAATGCTTACCATTGTTTATTTTCTCAAACACAGGTAATGATTGTTTTATTGTATGGATATTCATATGATAGGAACTGCCAGGCTAAAGAACATAAAGTAAATTAGATACAACTAATAGATTTTTTTTCTATAACATAGTCATTACATTAAAAGCTACTCCCTCCGTTCACTATTATAAGATGTTCTGTTTTTTTCTGAATCGGGTGTATATAGATGCATTTTAGTGTGTTGTTCGCTCATTTCAGTCCGTATGTAATCCATACTGAAATATTCTAAACATCTCTTATAACAATGAACGGAGGGAGTACCACACAAGCATCAGGACATAAGTACATGACACTGCTGGTCATGAAGCAGCAAAATAAACAAATGGTACGACACTACTTAAAACTGTCGGCTTAACACAAAATGATGTGAACATAATTTCATCAGCCACTTATCGAAACATAACTTAGTTTTGTTCTAACCGCGGCGTAAGACATGGTATTACCTGCAGTGTAGACACTTTCAAATGGATAATACTGAGAAACTATCATAGTTTTGAAAAGCTTCTTGAACTTTAATGACTCAAGATTGACCACGAAGAGGCCGATAATAGTCCACAGCAACAACACATTATTGCCTTCAGCAAGCGCTAGTATCGCAATGGCCCCTTTCTCCTCTGGTTTCAGGGGAAGTATATTCTCCAGATTCATAGTCCTTCCAAGCACCCATGAAGCAACACCATCACAATTGGTCTTCCTCTTCCATAACTGGGTGTTGCAGTTTGAATCTGGCATCCTGAGGAGACCAAGCCCACCGCCCTCTGCCCGCATAAGCTTCCAGCAGCTGACCTCCTTTGGCAGTCGTATCACAGCTAGCCTCTGCTTCTCCAAATCAAACTCGAGAATGCCAGTGAAATTCCCAACAAGCAGCCAGTAAAGGGAATCTCCAGCCAGCACAGCAACATCTGTAGAAACCACGGTGGGAAAACTGATTACATCGGCTTGGACTGCCTGGTGTGGAAGGAGTGTTTTGATGGGATCTCCCCATAAGCCTGTCTTCGACAAGTAAACACAGGCGAGCGCTTGTCTGTGTTGTTGGTCGTCATCATATGCCACTACCAAGACCACCTGGAAGTGTTGGACGTCTCCAGCATCGCGAAGCACCGCCCCGTTGATCAGAGTCTCCCCCCTACATGCCGCAACCACAGGGGGAATGGCGAGGCGGTGCTGGTCGGCGGTGACGGGGTCCCACACCAGGATCTGGAGGCGCTTCCTAAGGTAGATGAGCACGAGACCATGGCGGCATCCAAGGGACATGAAGTCGCCGTCCCCGTCGTCGAGCTGCAAGGAGAAGCGGCCGGGAGGGACACGGTCGGGGGCCTCCAGAGTAGGTATGAAGGAGATGTCACAAAATATGTCGAAGAAACCGAGGAGAGGAGGGTTGCGGCCGTGGCGGAGGCGGAAGCGGCGGCAGAAGGCGGGGTCGGAGACGAGGCGGCGCCAGCGCTTGCAGACGAGGGAGGCGCGCGGGAGGGAGGAGGGCTGCGGGGGAAGGCGGACGAGGATCTCGGAGAGCAGGTCGTCGTCTTCCAGCGGCGCTACCGCCGGCGAGCGGGCGTGGCGGCGGCGGCTGGCCGCCATCTCGCCCTCACTAACTGACGCGGCGGCGGAGGCTGAAAGTGAAGTACTACAGCGCGAGCGACGATGAAAGATATCGATCGAGAGCCCAACACCTAGGGTTAGGGTTAGGTGTCGTGGGCTGGACACGTTAAAGCCCACGGTGGGTGCTAAATAAAATGATGCTGAACTGCAGTAAAGAGATTTTATTATTATTTTGACGAAAAAGCAGCAAGGTATACATTCTCTACTCCTAATGCAGCAGTTGGTAGTCTCCGCCGGTCAATTTTCGTCCCACCATGCGCGGTCAATTTTCGTCCCCGATGCAACCTACCGCTACCCACCGATTCCCCACTTCCGACAGAAAAAACGGGATGGTAACACGCTAATCTATGAAAAACGTCCTGAAAAAACCGCCCTAAAAAAATCTACAATGGTTAACCTACGAAAATTAACCGTTTCGTCCCATTTGAGACCGGCGGACCGATTCGTCCCAGCTGAAACCCTCGCAGCCGTACCGTCCTGCCCTCGATTCGTCCCTATCCTCGCTTCGTACCCTCTTCTCCCATTACCGCCTCTCAACCCTACGCCGCCACCATCGCCACTCAACCGTTCGCCGCCGCCATCGCCGCTCAACACCTTTCCCGCCGCCACCGGACTGCAAGCCGTTTGTTCCGCGTAGCGACCAACCCCTTTCCCGTATGATACGCCGCTGATCATCAGGATCGGCGTCACCCTTCAAGGTTGGCCGCCGTCAACCGCTATCATCTAGGTATGCCTCTAATAACCCAGGTACAGGGGATTGGAACCCGTTTACAAATCTTACAAATTTTACAAATCTTACAAATTTTTTGAATTTTAGGAGACCTAGGTACGGGGGATTGGAACCCGTTTACAAATCTTATGGGCATTCATCCTAATGTCACCCAGTTTGACTTCCACATCTTCAGAATTCTTTGCTTATATCTGCACAGAACCGAATCCAAGTTTATATCTTCAGAATTCGTTGCCTTTCCAGTTCATCTAAAAACTAGCACTCACCTTTCCAGTTCTGCAGGTGGTCAGTCGTCTCGGTGGCAACAGTTACCAGTTACGCAGCTCGCAACGGTTATCTGCACAAAACTAAGAGCATGTTTACATACAAACAGCAGAAGCAAATTTGAGTACGCACGAAGTATGATCAACTATTCCGCAAACGTTTAGAATGCCACCGCAAATCTAGATAGAAACAACAGTTATTTCCAGTTTATTGTTCAAACGATCAGAAAGAAATACCATGATCTGTATTTCTGGTTTTTGTATCATCTAAAAAATAGGACTCACCATTCCAGTTTTGCAGGTGGTGAGTCGTCTCGGTGGCAACAGTTATCATATACGCAACTCGCAACGGTTATTTGCACATAACTGAGACCATGTTTACATACAAACAACAGAAGCAAATTTGAGTACGCACGAAGTATGATCAACTATTCCGCAAACCTTCAGAATGCCACCGCAAATTTAGATAGAAACTTGAGTTATTTCCAGTTTATTGTTCAAACGATCAGCAAGTAATACCATGATTTGTATTTCTGGTTTTTGGATCATCTAAAAAATATGACTCACCTTTCTAGTTTTGGAGGTGGTGAGTCAACTCGGTGGCAACAGTTTTCAGTTATGCATCTCACAACTTCATCACAATGCTCCATCTGCACATAACTGACACCAAGTTTACATGCAAACATCATAACCATATTTGTATTTGCATGTACATACAAACACTCACTTTGCCAGTTTGCAGGTGGCGATTGAACTCGGTGCCGGATCATCAGAAGCAGAGAAGCAGCAAGTGACAACAAATCCCAACAAATCCCAGGTAAGAGGAAATTAGATTGTATGCCATTCACACCAGGATCAAATATGTGTTATGCTGGAAACTGATTGCAGAAGCAAATAATCATAACATATAAGCCGAGTTTATGCCATTTACACCAGCATCAAATTTGCTATTTGCATAATCTCTAATAGCACAGTACGACGACCCAGTGTTCAAACATCAGGAGCATAAGGATGGAAACTGAGTGTCACAACTAATTGCATCCTTTTAGGCGTGTAACATATTATGAACAGCAGTAGCACAGTACGACAACCCAGTATTCAAACTTCAGGAGCATAACACACACCAATGCTGGCAAATGAGTGACACAACTAAGGAAGCAAACCAATGACAAGATAGTTGTTGAGTTTGTGCCATATAGGCCCAGGTTTATATGAATATTCAGTTTTTTGTATCATGACATAAGTGACACTCACTTTAGGAGTTATCAAGTGGTGATTTACCTCTGTGCCTTGTCATCTGAAGCAGCAACTGACAACTCTTCTTGATTTTGCAGCTCACAGCAACATCACCAGCAATAAGTGACAAAAACAATATAAAGTGAGCACACTTATTGAAATAGGCAAATGATTTCAATTACTGATAAGTAAAAAGAAACTGACGCCATTGTGATGTATATACCATATATAAGAAACTGAATGCATACTACATTCCAATGAACAGCATTTGAATCACAATCATTATCGCAACTGTGTAAATCAAGAATTCTACTTATCTGAAATTGTGCCAATTCATATTTCACGTTAGTATAATGTCATTCAATGTTAGTGTGCTGTCCTTACAGAGGTGCGGATGGGTAATTCAAAAAGCAAGCCAGTTGAACACATACCAGAAGTTGATGTTACTACCGGTATGCTGCAATTCTATCAGAAAGTGAAAATCATGGGTTCTGTTATATTGACAAGCTATATGCACAATGTTTTGCAGTCCTTTCAAGTGGGAGAAATGTTGATGATAACAATGCAAACATCATCCCCGTAGCTGAAAATGTTGTTGAAAATTATGCTATGGTTCCACGTAAGATGCTTCTCTCAATATTGTTCATTTTGTTGCTGCATACATTGTCACCTGTGTCATTCGCCTTTTAATAATCCTGGATATAACTCTATAGAACTCCCGAACCTGGTTGTAGAGCTTAATGAAGCTCCATTCTCGGCCCCGAGTATACTAACAGGACAATCTTGCACAGATAAAAATGGTATTTACTCATCTATAATTATGATTACAAGAATCATAGCTCCATATATTTTCTCCTAAATAACATTGTTTTTATTTTCCTACTTGTATCAACTCTACAGTTGGATCATTATCGCAACTGGTTGGGGATCAGCATGATGCTTCGTTGTTGTCTTTGAGTAATCTAATTCTCGATTCTGGCATTTCAGTTGCTCTAACTTAAATTCAAGTGTGTTCACCTTCTGATACATGTTACCCTGGTTCTTTTATTGATAAGTTGTAGGCTGTGAACCTTCAAATGATGCATTAGATGGGGCGACAGTGGTAAAAGGTATGCACATGGACGCTTATCCACAATCGATACTGACGTGATCGGTAGTGGCTCATCATTGAACATATGTGTTTTCTGCTCTATCTGTTTAGTAGTTATTAATTTTGTCATGATGCAAACAACGTCAATTGCATAGACTACGCTGAGACAACAAATGAGCAGTTCAACGCACAAAGGCGTGGTGCTTATCGGAAAAAGAAGGATAAAGATACTATGTTGTTGCAAGAGGTTCATCAGCCCTCCTTGACAAATTCTGGTGAGTTCTTTAACATGGTTGTGCTGACTAAAATTTGCATGTGGTATGAATGTGATATAAGTGAGTTGTCAAGCTAACCTTAATAGAAAAGTGGGCCTTATTTCATTCACTAACTACTACACTATTGATTCATCTTGTAGATCATAGGGAACTTAACAACGCGTGGAGGCGAGCATCTTATCGCATTAGCAAGACAGAAAATTTGAAAAAACAACAAAACGATGTGCACATCGTTCAACGTCGTACCCTAAGTGATATCACGAACGTTTCAACCTACTAATTCGATAGCAGGTACATCAGGTACTCATGGTATATATAAGAGCAAGGTCATAGTACTGTTGATATATGAAGTTAAAATACTCACCACGCATGTTGAATTAGATGAGTTGATTGAGACCAAAGAGAATCCGCAAAGAACGGAAGAAGATCGCAAAAGAGATCATAGAAACGCCCTGAGGAGAGCTTCTTATCGGCGGAAAATGGATCGGGATCTGCAAGAAGAGAATTTCCGGGCCCTTAATTTACCTGGTAGGATTTAAATATTCTAACCAACATTAAGAGTACCAGTAGATTAAGGTTTTAACCAATAAGTTATGAGTATGTATTATTAACATTTTTTTACCAGGCAACCATTCTAGCTCCGACTATACAGCATTGTCGAATAATGAAACTGTTTTCACTGCTACAACTATGGTCACAGCTGGTCTGGTTTATGAGAATACTTTAAAAGGTAAACAACTTGAGCATGATATGTCATAATGTGTGGTCAGATTACGTTTTGCTCTCTACATTTATACTGTGCCATGAATGACAGCAGATGTTCACTTCAATGTTCTTGAAGAAACCAGTCAATTAACCAAGGAAGAGCGGAAGAGAAATCATAGAAATGCACTGAGAAGAGCTTCTTATCGGAGGAAAAAGGATCAGCTGAAAGCAGATGAAAATAAAGACCCACTATCTACATCAGGTAAACCAATCCCTTTAATTTAACATTGAAGTAATCATTTTTTTCCTCATACCTGCATATTCTTTTAGAGAATAGTAGGCACGCAGCATAGCGTCAAATGCTTGATCTTAATGCACATGATTTCTATTTGAGTAGCAACAAGTAGTGGTAATATTCATTATCCATTACATCAGATTGTTCTAATGACATTTTCACAATGTTGTTCCTAAAGACACCCATGATGGCACAAGCTATACAGACATTGCACACATTGAAGCAGCATTACCCCCTTCATCATTAGGAGCGTCTGATGTTACCCATGACAATGACTGAGCTATGAGGGAGCATAGAAACTCACGTAGCCGAACCTGTTATCAGAAGAAAAAGGGTGAACTAACGGTTGATGACAGAGAAGGAATTAATGAAAAGATCCGAGGGA